ACCTGCTGTCATTTCTATGTATTATTTCACTGCATTTTAGGATTAACGATGGAAATTCACAGTTAAACTAGTCACAGTTTACTACTGCTGAGTTAAACTATGGCGCTTCCCTTTTTTTTCTGTCAGTTGTTCTTTTGTTCTAGAAATTTCAGGAATTGGTATCTCAATTCTTTAACTAAATTGAACTTTCGTATCTAGTTTTTGGCTGAGCACCTTTTTGGCTGAGCACTTTTCCAAATGGTTTCTTCTTTAACTTCTCTAGTCTATTACCTCTTTCAGCCTAGAGAGAACTGGTGAAGGGCTCCTTGTTTTTGCGTGCATGCCTGCGTGTATCTGTATGAGTGTATATCTGTGTGTGTGTATATCTGTGTGTATTATCAGTCTCTATCTGTGTGTGTGAGTGTGGACACACATACAGAAGTTAGAGGACAGCCTCTGGTACCGGTCCTCACCTTCACCTTACTTGAAACAAGGTCTCTTGTTGCTGCTGGCCCCAGAGACTTTCCTGTCACGCCTCCTATTTCGCTGCAGGAGCACTGGGATTGCAGCCTGCTGTGCCTGGCTTTATGGTGGGTGGTAGGTAGTCAAACTCAGGTCCTTATGCTTGCACTGTAAGTGCTTTACTCAGTGAGCATACCCTCAGCCCCAGGAAGGGCTCCTTTAGTGGTAGGGGAACTGTATCAGTTTAGAGAGAGCCACTTATTTTTGAAAATGCTTATCTGGGCATGGTAATGTCAGCACTTAGAGATAGAGGCAGGAGGATCAGGAGTTAAGGTCATTTTTGGCTACATACTAAGTTCAAGGTCAGCCTGAGCTACATAAGACCCTGTCTTAAAAAAAAAAAAAAAAAAAAAAAAGGCCTTGTCTTAAGCATCTGCGATTTTCTAAATTATATAATTCTTTAAAATTTTTTTAAAAAATTTTATGTGTGTGAGTGTTCTGCCTGCCAAGCATGTAAGCGCACCACATGTGTGCACTGCCCAAGGAAGTCAGATGAGGATGTCGGATCCCCTGGAACTGGAGGTAAGGACAGTTCGCTGCCATGTGGATGCTGGGAACTGAACTCAGGTCCTCTGTAAGAGTAGTGCTCTTAACCGCTTATCCATCTCTCCAGCCCCCAAATGAATAATTCTTGATCTGCATCAGATGCTTTAAAGATTTTATAAGATTTGCATAAAAGTTGTCTGAACAGAGTTGAGCAGGGGAGGGTGTGGACCTGAGATTTGATGTGGACATGTAGATATTTTTCAAGCTGTGTGACCGTGGGTGCTTTTAAACTGTAATTAAGAAGTAAGGAATGTGTTATGGTTCCCTCTTGGTGATAGCACAAGCAGGCTTTTCTTTCTGCTGGGGGAGGGGGGACACAGGACGACAACACGACACAGACGGACACAGACATGGATGCTGGACCTACCTGCTGGGGTGTTGCTTTCTCATCTGCCATGCTCCCTGGAGGTTCAGAGGCTTTTGGGAGCTGATGGTCTTTGGTATGGGCTGTTTTAAAACAAAGTGAAAACACAGGGAGGCTGAGCGGGGAGGATCCTGTGAACCCAAACAATATAGCAAGCTCGCCTCTTAAAAATAAAGGTAAAGTGGCCGGGCGTGGTGGTGCACGCCTTTAATCCCAGCACTCGGGAGGCAGAGGCAGGCGGATCTCTGTGAGTTCGAGGTCAGCCTAGTCTACATAGTGAATCCAGGACAGCTGGGGCTACAGGGAGATCCTGTCTCAAAAAGACCAATGGGTAGATTAGATAGATAGATGATAGATAGATAGATAGATAGATAGATAGATAGATAGATAGGTTAGATAAAATAGATAGATTAGATAGATAAGATAGATGACAGATAGATAGATAGATAGATAGATAGATAGATAGATAGTACCCAAAACAAAGCCTTTAATTTAAAGAGTCTCCCTCAGTATCTGTGGTGGATTGGTTCCAGATCACCACAGATGCCAGGCCCCATATACACTCAAGTCTCTGGGGTGAACTGGCATGCTTATTTACAAACTAGTACTTTTTTTTTTTT